CCCCCCCCCCGCCGCCTGGGGGCCCCCCCCGCTGCGGCTCTGCAGAGTGGCCCCTTAACGACTAATCATATCAACGACCCAGTGAGCCAGGTAACCCCAGGTTAACATCCTTGCTTGGGACCAGCATGCTCTGGGCGGGACAACAGGGGGCCTCCAGCAGTTCAGCACTCGGAGCCGTCCTGCTTCCTGGGTCCGTCAGGGCAGGCGGCTCCGCTCCAGTCCTGAGTCTGGCACCCCCCCGTTCCGGTTTTATTGCGCCTTCGGGGGAGGGTGGTTCCTCCCCCAAACACCAGCCTGCCCACCGCAGCCCCCCCCGCCCCGAGTCCTCTGGCCTCCACAGCAGAGGAGCACAGGCTGCCTCGAGACGCTGATGGGAAACGTCAGTGTTGGCCCGGCATCAGCTGTCGCTTCCCTCATTGGACTAGCTTGCCAAGTCTGGTCACATGCCAATGCGCTGTCCGCTCTCAGGGAGTGGAACTGGGGCCATGCTTTCGCCTGGCCGGAGATCGCTCTTCTGGTGTTCGATTTAGCGGGTCTAGCTAAGACCCACTAAATCAAACGCCCAGGGCGCCCTGTGTTGGGTGCTGTGACGTAGTGGGGGGCTGTGCTTCCCTCATTGGACTAGCTTGCCAAGTCTGGTCACATGCCAATGCGCTGTCCGCTCTCAGGGAGTGGAACTGGGGCCATGCTTTCGCCTGGCCGGAGATCGCTCTTCTGGTGTTCGATTTAGCGGGTCTAGCTAAGACCCACTAAATCAAACGCCCAGGGCGCCCTGTGTTGGGTGCTGTGACGTAGTGGGGGGCTGTCTGCTCTGTAACCCAGGGTTTCCCTGCGTGGTGCTGTGTGATTCCCACTGACTCACCCACATGTACTGGCCCTGACACCCAGTCCCAGCCTGGGCAGATAAGGCTTTTCCCCGCCCGCCCCGGAGAGGAAGGGAGGGAGGTGGAGACGAACACCTAGTTTGGGGGCAGGGTCGGAGAGCAGAGGCAGTTGCTGGCTGGGAAACACGAAGGAAACAGCCTTAGCTGAGGATCTGGGGGGGTGATGGACCCCCTAACCCAAGGGGTCTGAGGCTGCCTGGCCCTGATTCCTGCAGCCACATCCCGTCTGTGCTGGGCTGGATCCTGGGGAAGCAATAACCCCCCTGTTCTACTGGCTGTGGAGTCTGTTCCTGCTGCTCCGGGGCTGCAGGATCGGGGGGTCCCCGCCCGAAAGGAGTAAGAGAAGCCAATGGGAGCGTTTGCTCCCGCCAGCCTCCCTCTGTGGAGACAGCTCCAAGCTCGGCTTCAGGCAGGCTGACGCCATAGCGGAGTGCCTTAACCCGGCCGTCCAGGCCCAGTGCAGACCTGGTCTGGGACAGGAGCTGAAATAAAGGGAGGGTGGAAACGAGAAAATCTGCGGGGCGGCTGGCCCAAGGGAGGAGGAAATTGCCCCGTGATCGAAGCAGGTGGGTTCGGGGAGCGTCCGCTCCATTGCCCTGCTCGGATTGTCCGCGCCACCTCGCCCCAGCCCGGGCTCACGAGAGGCCGAGCTGAGACCAGCCGGGCGGTGGAACTCGCCTGCAGGAATGGCCACAATGCCTGGCCCCGCCGCATGCGACTATTTCTGTCGGCTGCACGAGATGAGCTCATGGAAAATGTGTTTGGAAACGGCTTCCCAAGGTGGCCGGGTATTTTTAGGGGCCCTTTCAGCAAGCGTTTAGCGGGGCCTTAGCAACAAGCCTGTGTCGAGTTATAAATAGCGAGTGGGCGGGGGGGCAGCCTAGAACCCGAGGAGCTCGCCAAAGGCCTGCGCCACCTTTATCTGAGTGCTTGCGACTCGGCGCCAGAGAGCCCTCACTTATCTGCCTCCCGGGGCGGCGCCGGCAATCGCCCAGCCCCCAGAATTCTGTGTCAGAGCCCCCCCGGCACGCACGGGGCTGGGATTCTCCGCCCGCGGC